TTTGATGTGTGCCTTACTAGTGTTTATAGTAGCCCCTGAGTATTTGATACTTGTTAGGTTGCTAAGATTAGTAAATCGAAATAGGAGTTACATAATAAACAGAGACTAGTTGAGGGGAAGTGACGATGAGTGTTGGAAATAGTTCCAAGATTGATATGATCATCATCACACACTCCCTATATTTTCGAGATTAGTGTTAAACCTAAATAAATGTTATTTAGCGTTCGCGTTGAGCATGAATATGATTTGATCATGTTTACTGCGATACGGTTATTCATTTGAAGTTAAAGAATAATTGTTATTCTGTTTACATGAATAAGACCTTCGATGGTTATACACCCAATGAAAATAGTTTGTTGGATCTCGATTGTAGTGATACACATATTCATAATATGGATGCCAAAAGATGCAAAGTTAATAATGATAGTGCAACTTATTTGTGGCGCTGCCGTTTGGGTCATATCGGTGTAAAGCGCATGAGGAAACTCCATAAAGATGGATTTTCGGAATCACTTGGTTATGAATCATTTGATGCTTGCGAACCGTGCCTTTTGGGCAAGATGACTAAAACTCCGTTCTCTGGAACAATGGAACAAGCTACTAACTTATTGGAAATAATACATACCGATGTATGCGATCCAATGAGTGTTGATGCTCGTGGCAAGTATCGTTATTTTCTGACCTTCACAAGATGATTTGAGCAGATATGGGTATATCTACTTGATGAAACATAAGTCTGAAATAGTTGAAAGGTTCAAAGAATTTCAGAGTGAAGTGGAAAAATCATCGTAACAAGAAAATAAAGTTTCTGCGATCTGATCGCGGAGACGAATATTTGAGTTACGAGTTTGGTCTTCAATTAAAATAATGTGGAATAGTTTCACAGCTCACGCGACCTGGAACACCACAACGTTATGGTGTGTCCGAACGTCGTAACCGCACTTTATTGGATATGGTGCGATCTATGATGGCTCTTACTGATTTACCACTATTGTTTTGGGGTTATGCATTATAGACAGCTGCATTCACGTTAAAAGGGCACCATCTAAATCCGTTGAGAAGACACCGTATGAACTATGGTTTAGCAGTAAACCTAAGCTGTCAATTCTTAAAGTTTGGAGTTACGATGCTTATATGAAAAAGGTTTTCAACCTAATAAGCTCGAACCCAAATCGGAGAAGTGCGTCTTCATAGAATACCCAAAGGAAACTGTTGGGTACACCTTCTATCACAGATCCGAAGGCAAGATATTCGTTGCTAAGAATGGATCCTTTCTAGAGAAGGAGTTTCTCTCGAAAGAAGTGAGTGGGAGGAAAGTAGAGCTTGATAAGGTAATTTGTACCTTCTCCGGAATTGGAAAGTAGTTCATCACGGAAATCAGTTCCAGTGATTCCTACACCAATTAGTGAGGAAGCTAATGAAACTTCAGATCAAGTTACTACAAAACCTCGTAGATCTTCCAGAGTAAGATCCGCACCAGAGTGGTGCAGTAATCATGTTCTGGAAGTCATGTTACTAGACCATGATGAACCTACGAACTATGAGGAAGCGATGATGAGCCCAGATTCCGCGAAATGGCTTGAGGCCATAAAATCTGAGATATGATCCATGTATGAGAACAAAGTATGGACTTTGATTGACTTGCTTGATGATCAGCAAGCCATGTTAAATAAATGGATCTTCAAGAGGAAGACGGACACTGATAGTAGTGTTACTATCCACTAAGCTCGACTTGTTGCAAAAGGTTTTCAACAAGTTCAAGGTGTTGAATACGATGAGATTTTCTCACTCGTATCGATGCTTTAGTCTGTCCGAATCATGTTAGCAATTGCCACATTTTATGAAATCTGGCAAATGGATGTCAAAATTGCATTCCTTAATGGATTTATTAAAGAAGAGTTGTATATGATGCAACCAGAAGGTTTTGTCAATCCTAAATATGCTAACAAAGTGTGCATGCTCCAGCAATCCATCTATGGACTGGTGCAAGCATCTCAGAGTTGGAATATACGCTTTGATAAGTTGATCAAAGCATATAGTTTTGTACAGACTTACGGTGAAGCCTGTATTTACAAGAAAGTGAGTGGGAGCACTACAGTATTTCTGATAAGTATATGTGAATGACATATTGTTGATCGGAAATAATGTAGAATTATTCTACAAAGCATAAAGGAGTGTTTGATAGGAGTTCTTTAAAAGAAAGACTTCAGTAAAGCTACTTACATATTGAGCATCAAGATCTATTGAGATAGATCAAGACGCTTGATAAGTTTTTCAATAAGTACATACCTTGACAAGATTTTGAAATAGTTCAAAATGGAACAGTCAAAGAAAGAGTTCTTGCATGTGTTGCAAAGGTGTGAAACTGAGTAAGACTCGAATCCCAACCAAGGCAGAAAATAGAAAAGAGAATGAAAGTCATTCCCTATGCCTCAGTCATAGGTTCTAGAAAGTATGCCATACTATGTACCAGACCTATTGTATACTCTGCCCTGGTTTGGCAAGGGAGTACAATAGTGATCTAGGAGTAGATCACTGGACATTGGTCAAAATTATCCTTAGTGAGAACTAAGGAAATATTTCTCGATTATGGAGGTGATAAAAGAGCCCGTCGTAAAGAGTTACATTGGTGCAATCTTTTACACCGATCCAGATGACTCTAAGTCTCAATTTGGATACATATGAAAAGTGGGAGCAATTAGCTAGAGTAGCTCCGTGCAGAGCATTATAGACATAGAATATTTGCAAAATACATACGGCTCTGAATATGACAGACCCGTTGACTAAGCTTCTCTCATGAGCAAAACATGATCACACCTTAGTACTCTTTGGGTGTTAATTACATAGAGATGTGAACTAGATTATTGACTCTAGTAAACACTTTGGATGTTGGTCACATGACGATGTGAACTATGGGTGTCAATCATATATAGATATGAATATTGGTGTTAAATCACATGGCGATGTGAGCTAGATTATTGACTCTAGTGCAAGTGGGAGACTAAAGGAAATATGCCCTAGAGGCAATAATAAAGTTATTATTTATTTCCTTATTTCATGATAAATGTTTATTATTCATGCTAGAATTGTATTAACCGGAAACATAATACATGTGTGAATACATAGACAAACATAGTGTCACTAGTATGCCTCTACTTGACTAGCTTGTTGATCAAAGATGGTTATGTTTCCTAACCATAGACATTTGTTGTCATTTGATTAACGGGATCACATCATTAGGAGAATGATGTGATTGACATGACCCATTCCGTTAGCCTAGCACTTGATCGTTTAGTATATTGCTATTGCTTTCTTCATGACTTATACATGTTCCTGTAACTATGAGATTATGCAACTCCCGTTTACCGGAGGAACACTTTGGGTGCTACCAAACGTCACAACGTAACTGGGTGACTATAAAGGAGTACTACAGGTGTCTCCAAAGGTACATGTTGGGTTGGCGTATTTCGAGATTAGGTTTTGTCACTCCGATTGTCGGAGAGGTATCTCTGGGCCCTCTCGGTAATGCACATCACTATAAGCCTTGCAAGCAATGTAGCTAATGAGTTAGTTACGGAATGATGCATTACGTAACGAGTAAAGAGACTTGCCGGTAACGAGATTGAACTAGGTATTGGAAACCGACGATCGAATCTCGGGCAAGTAACATACCGATGACAAAGGGAACAACGTATATTGTTATGCGGTTTGACCGATAAAGATCTTCGTAGAATATGTAGGAGCCAATATGGGCATCCAGGTTCCGCTAAGGTTATTGACCGAGAATAGTTCTAGGTCATGTCTACATAGTTCTCGAACCCGTAGGGTCCGCACGCTTAACGTTACGATGACAGTTTTATTATGAGTTTATAAGTTTTGATGTACCAAAGTTTGTTCGGAGTCCTGGATGTGATCACGGACATGACGAGGAGTCTCGAAATGGTCAAGACATAAAGATTGATATATTGGACGACTATATTCGGACACCGGAAGTGTTTCGGGCGTTTTCGGAGAAAACCGGAGTGCCGGAGGGTTACCGGAACCCCCCAGGAGAAGTAATGGGCCTTATGGGCCTTAGTGGAGAGAGAGAGGGGCAGCCAGCATGGGCCGCGCGCCCCCTCCCCCTCTGATCCGAATTGTACTAGGAGGGGGCGGCGCCCCCCTCTTTCCCTCTCCCTCTCCCCCTTCCTTTCCCCCTCCTAGTAGGAGTAGGAAAGAGGGAGTCCTACTCCTACTAGGAGGAGGACTCCTCCTCCTTGGCGCGCCCACAAGGGCCGGCCGGCCTCCCCCTTGCTCCTTTATATACGGGGGCAGGGGGCACCCTAGAACACACAAGTTGATCTACGGATAGTTCCTTAGCCGTGTGCGGTGCCCCCCTCCACTATATTCCACCTCGGTCATATCATCGCGGAGTTTAGGCGAAGCCCTGCGCCGGTAGAACATCATCATCGTCACCACGCCGTCGTGCTGACGGAACTCATCCCGGACGCTTTGCTATCTGCGCCTCCTCTGCATACTCCTAGGAGAGAACACAGATGAACGAAAATAAGATCACATGAACATTAGTGCATCTGCAGCACTAGAGTTGCAGTTTCACCGTTTAAAGAAACATGCTATCACAGTGAGAATGAACCACTACCTGAAACTTGTGTTTACTCTGTACTGGATACTCTTTTGCTAAGAAACATGTTATAACAGTGAGTAGTAACAGAATAGATTTTATGATATCTTTTGCGGTTGCATTACCATGGTCATGATAGCAGTACCAATAGTATCAGATAACATAATATTCTATTAGACCCGTTTCTCATTAATGATTACAACTGTAATTCTTAAATTAATGGTCATCCATCTAGAACTAGTAGTACCAAAACAATTTTACTCCGACCTCTTGGAACCAGCTGTTTCCCTCTCTCTGGCAGATAATATTTAAAGAAGTGATAGATGATTTATGAGTAAGAGTCCAGTTTATAAATATTATTAAATTCAGTAGTCTAGGACTATCTGCGTGTAGCTATTACCTCTGTAGGTGAAGGTTGACCTCTGCTCAAATGCAGCACCAAGGTACGGGAAGTATCAACATGGCTCACAAGGGGGAAAATCTGGAGGTAGAAGGCAATATCATTCTCCACCTCACGTAACTGGCAAGCCAGATTACCTCCGGTGAAGCAGTGATACATGAAGCTGCTGTCCTGGCAGGTTGTGACAAGCATAAAAGCTCGCCGAAGTGTCTCCTCCAGCTGATCCACTGGGTTCCTCGTATCTCGGTGTTGCATCAGTTGTGCCTCATGAAGCTCCTGCAGAAGGTCACCTATCATCTTGACGCGTCGCGCGAGCTTTTGGCAGGTCTCCTTGTTCCTCCTAACGGTCTGCACTGCCTCCACAATCATCTTGATCAGCCCATATGCATCTATCCCTGCTAGTTGCGCAACACTGGCCACTTGACCTACACCATTCCATGTTGCCATCTCCTCTAAGAACTGCGAAGAACACCTCCAGAAAATAAGGACTCAATAGCTAGCCAGAACATGTACTTTAACTTGTGAGAGGCTGCAAGTCTGAGAAAGATTTTGTGGGAAAACACAACAGCTAGTATATCACTAGCTTATACTCCCTCCGTTCCTAAATACTTGTCTTTCTAGGCATTTCAACAAATGACTACATACGGAGCAAAATGAGTGAATCTACACTTTAAAATATGTCTACATACATCCGTATGTAGTAGTCATTTGAAATTTCTAGAAAGACAAATATTTAGGAACGAGGGTACGTGGACAATACTCTCCCCTCTCGTTGTTATGCCATCACCATGATCTTGCGTGTGCGTAGGAATTTTTTTGAAATTACTACGTTCCCCAACAGTGTCATCTATGAGATACACAAGAAAATCATCACCAAAAGACTTTGCAGTCCTCTGTCTCTTGCTCCTAGTAGGAACTTCATTATTCTCCTCCACAGGACTTTCAAAGTGTTCCATTGAAATGGGAGGTTCAGTAATTTTGACTGATTCCTGATTCGATGAACTAGGCATCTCCTGATTAGATGAGGTAGCCATATCCTTCATGGGAAAGATATCTTCAAAAAAAAGTCGCATCATTTGAATCCATGATCGTACCGACATGCATGTCAGGTACCTCTGATTTTACAACCAAGAATCTATAACCAATGCTATGAAAAGCATATCCCAAGAAAACACAATCCACAGTTTTTGGTCCCAGCTTTCGCTTCTTTGGAATTGGCACATTGACTTTCGCCAAACAACCCCAGGTTCGTAGATAAGAGAGCTTTAACCTTTTCTTCTCCCATTCCTCGAATGGAGTTATCTCTTTGTTCTTTGTGGGAACTCGGTTTAGGACATGACATGTTGTCAATATCGCCTCCCCCCACCATGCCTTAGAAAGACCCGATGTGTCTAAAATGGCGTTAACCGAATCAGTTAGAGTACGGTTCTTTCTTTCGGCCACCCCATTTGACTGAGGTGAATAGGGAGGCATCCTCTCATGGATTATACCATGTTCCGCACAAAAGGAACCAAATTCATTTGAGAAATACTCTCCACCACGATCGGACCTAAGCCTCTTGATCTTTTGATCAAGTTGTTTTTCCGCTTCAGCTTTATAGATCTTGAAATATTTGAAAGCCTCGTCCTTAGATTTCAGAAGATACACATGACAGTATCTAGTGGAGTCATCAATTAACGTCATGAAATATTTCTTTCCACCTTTTGTCAAAACACTATTCATTTCACATAGATCTGAATGTATGAGTTCTAGTGGTGCAAGATTTCTCGTTTCCGTAGTCATATGAGACTTACGTGGTTGCTTAGCTTGCACACACACTTGACACTTGGATCCCTTGATAGTGGTGAAACTAGGGATTAAGTTCAACTTCGCTAGTCGTGACATGCAACCAAAGTTAACATGACAAAGACGTGAATGCCACACATTTGATTCACTATTGTTGCAAATATTATTAACAACTTTATTGCAAATGTCTGATAAGGATAAACAAAACAGACCTCCTGACTCATAGCCTTTACCAACAAAGGTTCCCTACTTGGGAATTACAAATTTATTCGACTCAAAGACAAGCTTGTAGCCATCTCTACACAGGAGAGATTTGCTAACAAGATTTTTATTGACGGAGGGGACATAATGCACGTTCTTCAGCCGCACGATCTTCCCCGAAGTAAACTTCAGATCGACCGTGCCAACACCACGAACAGAAGCACTTGAACCATTGCCCATCAGCATGGTTGAAGTCCCTGCGGTCTGATTAGATGAAAACATGGAAATATCACCGCATACATGCACATTAGTACCCGTGTCAATCAACCAATCAGGAGAATGACATACTGAAAGAATAGTGGGAAATATACCATACCCAGCATCCTTCATGTCATTGTCTCCAATGACAACATTAGCGGTCTTGCCGCCTTTCCCAGGATGACGCTTGTCATAGCGATTGGGGCAACTAGGAGCCCAATGATCAGGATCTCCACACACATGACAGACACCTTTCTTCTTGTCATTCTTCTTCTTGAAGTTCGTGTGCTGCACAGCCTTGTTCTTCCCATCAAACTTTGCTTTACCATCAAACTTGCCCTTGTTCTTGAACTTGTGGGGCTGGAAGTTCTTCTTCTGTACCAGATTGGCACTAGAACCTCCCTCAATACCTCGAGCACGGTTGTCCTTTGCTCTCGCCTTTTCTTCCACATCAAGAGTACCAATGAGATCTGGAACGGAAAACTCCTGCCTCTTATGCTTCAGTGAGGTAGCAAAGTTCCTCCACGTGGGAGGAAGCTTAGTGATGATACCTCCGGCAATAAACTTGTCCGGTAGGATACAATTGAAGTGCTCAAGTTCTCTAGAAAATGATTGTATCTCATGAGCTTGCTCAACCACGGAGCGCTCTTCAGTCATCCTGTAGTCATAGAATTGCTCCATGAGAGCAGCCTTAAACAAGGTATCCATTTTCTGAAAAGCTTGTGCCTGTTGGGCATCTTGCTCTCCTTCAAGTTTGCCAAGAGTGGCGTCATAGTAGCTCATCGCCACCTCTTATAGTGGATTTTTTGGATTGTTGAAAATATGGCGAGAGGAAGAATGAGTTCTGGTGCGTCTCTCTGAGAGGATATAGGCGTAAGAGAAGGAGGCGAGAGGGCAGCGACGGAAGGTGAATCGAATCGGCTCATTCCCGCAACCCGTGCCGTGCCGTGCCGTGCCGTGCCGTGCCGTGCCGTGCCGTGCCGGGGCGGGCGGAGGAGGAGGAGCGTGCGCGGATGTCCCTCTTGTTCTCATGTTCATACAAGTGGGGAAAGAGTCTCCCTTATAAAGAGGTCCAACTCCCTCTAAACTAGCAATGTGGGACTAAACTTTAGTTCCACCTCTTACCTTGCACTAATGGGCTGCGTGGGCCTCTAGGATTTATTAGGAATTTCAGAAACTGCTATTGGGCTAGGCCCAAATAGACAAAAATTCCAGCAACGGCCACGCTCCCGAACGACGTCATCCTCGAGATCCTCGCACGTCTGCCCGACGAGGCTCTGCTCTTCCGGTGCACGGCGGTGTGCAAGATGTGGAGGAGCCTCGTGGCCGACGCTTCGTTCCTCCGCCGCCGCTGGCCGGACAACTCGCCCCATCCGTCCTCGCTCCTCGGGTTCTTCCCCAGCAACTGGCAAATCCATCGTGCAATCATGGAGCACGTTCCTAGGGGACCACGGTCGGCATCGTCCGGCCTCCTCTGTCGACCCCTCGGATCCTTGCCCCCCAAAATCGACGGCCTCTTCGACCGCGCGAAGCCTCTTGCCTCACGCTGCGGTCTCCTCCTCCTGCAGTTCGTCCCGCGCCACGCCCGCGACCACCACTCGCCCCCGACCTTCATCCACTTCGCCGTGTGCAACCTGCTTGCCGGCTCGTGGGAGGTGCTTCCCCCACTGCGGCGCAAGTCGATCTACGACGGCGTCGAACTGGAGGGCTCTTGCATTCTAGCAGCGACGGACTTGTGCTCCGGCGGGCAACAGCAGCGGCAGCCACTGCGGGGCTTCTCGGCCTTATTCAAAGTGCTACTCATCGGCGGCAGCTACGATGGAACGCGCCACTACCTCTACACGTTCTCCTCCGATCAGCCGAGCTGGAGTGCGCCCAGCAGCTTCCTGGACTGTGTGAAGCACCACAATGGCTTAACGATGGCCCAGCAGAGCGCCATCGTGCAATGGGGCACGGCGCATTGGCTCTGGTGGGACTTTTCAGACATGTACAGCGTCGACGTGAACGCCGAGACCGGCCGATCCTCCTTGGCGAATCTTCGCGTCCCCGTTGGAGCACGCTACTACTTCCTCCCTTACAGTACGCCGAAACTTACCGTCGGCGTCGACGGGGCACTCCAGCTAGTCCGCCTACACATCGAAGGTCTCTAGGTAGAGATCTGGACACGACAAGATGGCGGACATCAGAGTGTCGATAGCGGGAGTGCAGACTGGCTCCGCACGCGGGTAGTCGAGATAGAACAACCCAAGCAGAAGTTGACTGAAAGAGCGGACTATGTTTGCGTTGGAGAGAAAAGTGGCACGATGCTCCTCGTCGACCAAGACGGGAGAGCGCTCCTGGTCGACCTCGAGACTGGGGCGGTGGAGGAGATGACGGGCCGGTTCAAAGGCCAGGAGTGGATGGCGGCCGTGGCCGTGGAGATAGATTGGCCGGCCTTGTTCTTGTCTCGTCTTAGTGGACAACGACGATGCTACACTCGTGGAGAGGTTATATAGACTACACTTATGGATGCCATCCTCAAGTTCCCCCGCTACTGTTGAAATATATTGCCCGTCTCCCTTCATCAGTTCGAACTTTTAGAGCAACTGACTGGAGCATGAATTCAATATGGTATCAGAGCCAAGAGGTCTTGAGTTCAAGACCCTGCCAACGCAGTATTAAATATAACGTTTATGCGGCCTACATCGATCCCACGTCTAAGGACTAAACTAGCCTAGATGTGAGGGGGGTGTTGAAATATATTGCCCGTCTCCCTCCATCAGTTCGGGATTTTGGAGCAACTTGCTGGAGCATGAATTCAATAACTACATCCGTAAGCTTCGTCTCATGACAAATCGTTTGTAAATATAGGTGGATAGTAGTGTGCGCGGAGCTGTCAGAACTTGGAGCATTGACAAAAACTGTATTTGGTATGTGGCCGTAGCTTGCTTAAACTGGCTGAAGACGTAGACTCTTCAGAATCTGAAAAAAGAGTGGGACTGGTTAAACACAAGTCAGCTGAAATTTTGAATTGGGTCAGTCAATTTACCGAGATTAATTTGAGTTGTTGGATGACAAACGAACGGTGATGGTACCATCGGCCGGGCCACCTACGGCCGACGGCACTCTCTCGCAGCCTTGCCCCGTTGCCCTACCCACAACAACGGCCAACAGCCGTACTGCCTCCCTCATTCTTCCGCCCCCACCCCCCACACCATTCTTCC